CCAATTAAAGATGTTATTTTTTTATTTTTTGAGACAGAATTTCACTCTTTTAGCCCAGGCTGGAGTGCAGTGGCGCAATCTCTGTTTACTGCAGCCTCTCCCTCCCAAGTTCAAGTGAGTCTCCTGCCTCAGCCTCCCAAGTAGCTGGGATTACAGGTGTGCACCACCATGCCTGGCAAATTTTTGTATTTTTAGTAGAGACAGGGTTTTGCCATGTTGGCCAGGTGGGTCTCGAACTCCTGACCTTAGGTGATCTGTCCGCCTCAGCCTCCTGAAGTGCTGGGATTACAGGCTTGAGCCACTGCGCCCGGCCTAATTCACTTTTATGAAAGGATTTTTGAATATATTGTCTTATTTGTCCTCCATATGTGCCCAGAGAAGTAAGTGGAATATGATTGTTGCCCCCTCTTAGTAAATGAAGAGGAGAAAATGGAGAAATAGGGCGTCAAACGTGGGATTTGAAACCAGGCTTCCAGACTCTGCAACGCTGTTGCTGCCTCTCAGCTTCCTAAGTCCCGGGCCCCAGTGGAGGTCCCCCTCTGCCTAGTCCTGACTCCCCATTTGCAGCCCAGCTGTGAGGGCAGAAGCTGGAGTGGCCACAGGACATGGCAGGAGACAGTGCCCAGGCCTGTGGACGCCACTCCAGGGTTTCTTTCAGCCTGCAGCCCACTCTGGGTATTCTTTGGCCCCCCACTCCCCAGCAGGCCCCAAACTCTGATGCTGGGGTGCTGGCAGCTGTGACGCCCCAGCCTTCCTGCACTCTGCTGACTTCCTCCTGGAGATTAGCGTGGCCCCTCTTGCCAGACTGGATAGGGATGGTTGCCCCCCACCTCTCTGGTGGGCAGACCTCTGGGCTCTCCAGAGTTGGGCCAAACACTTTTCCACATAAAGGAAGTGAGGCCCACCTAGGGGTCGAAGCTGGCCTGAGGATTTCCCGCTGGAAGCCCCAGACTCTCGGTTATGTAATCCAGGCCCTGGCTAGAGGCCTGGGCTTAGGACCCAGGGGAGAGAAAAGCAGGAAGTGGCCTCCTCCCATGTGGAAACGTCTTGGTGAAGGGAGGTGAGCAGGTGCCACCCCCTCTCCCTGAGAGCGGCTCCTCCAGAGCAGTCCCCTGGACAGAGCCCAGGCAGCACAGAGCTGGGCGCTTACCGCGTGCTCGTGTTTACTGCTCGCAGAGGCCCGCCGTGGAATTCCTATCATCTCTATTTTATAGAGGATGCAGAAACTGAGGCTGAGGAGCTTCAGTACATTGCCCAAGCTCCCCTGGCTAGTCAGGGGCCCCAGGTCTGTGTCCTATTCACTGCACCACACGGCCCCGGCCGCATCAGCCCTCCTCCCGCCCGCCGGGGCCCTGCTGGACTGTCTGTCATGTGTCTCCAGCTCTTCCCACCAAAATCTCACTCTCTTCAGGGCTCTGAGGGGGTGGAAAGGACAGGCCAGGGCAATGAGGCTGGCGTGAGGACCTAGGACAGCCGCCCCTGCCCTGGCCCACTGAGATGTGTGCCGCAGGACGTGGGGAAGGAGCCTTCACCCTCCAGAGCACGGCCCAGTCAATGCGCCCCATTGCTTCCACAGCTACGAAATGTGGGAATTGTGGACCCGGCTACCCCACCCCTCTGGAGGCCATGAAAGGTAATTGCCCGTGGTCTGAGAGTCAGCGCCCTGCTACTGATTCCACAGCTGGGGGTGGAGGGACTTCACCCTCTGGCACACCCAGCACTGCCCCTACCTTTCCTTCCCACCCTGCCATCCCCGCTGCCTGCTTTCTACCCTGCAGGACCCCGGGAGGAGATCATCTACCTGCCCTGCATTTACCGAAACACGGGCACTGAGGCCCCAGATTATCTGGCCACTGTGGATGTTGACCCCAAGTCTCCCCAGTATTGCCAGGTAAGGTGGGGCTTGGGCACCAGCTACCTTGAGACCGTAGCTGCCCTCATCCCTGGCCCTAGGGCTGCCCTTCCCAGCTCCATCCTTCTTGGCCCTCCCTGGGTATGGTTGTGCAGGCTGTTCACTGCACAAGGGAGAAGGGAAGTGCCGAAATCCAGCCTGTGCTGCGCTGCCAAACGAAATGGGTCCACAGGGACACCCCTTCCAAAAGCAGACAGAGGCGTGGCCTGGGCGAGCACCACCTCTCCCCGCATCCTAGGTTATCCACCGGCTGCCCATGCCCAACCTGAAGGACGAGCTGCATCACTCGGGATGGAACACCTGCAGCAGCTGCTTCGGTGACAGCACCAAGTCACGCACCAAGCTGGTGCTGCCCAGTCTCATCTCCTCTCGCATCTATGTGGTGGACGTGGGCTCCGAGCCCCGGGCCCCAAAGCTGCACAAGGCATGTCTTCCGCCCTTGCCAGCTCAGTAGACCATAAGATGCCTGCCACCCCAGGCAGTCTACGGGCAGGAAGCCAGCCCTAAACCGGCAACCTCCAGCTCTTACGCAGGATCTGCCTCGGCAGAGGGAGGGAGGTTGACTTCAGAGCAAAGTCTATGCAGACATTCTGGGTTGTCATCACCCTCCAGCACGGTGGCCAGAGCACCGGAGAAGAGAGAGGAGGCTTCCTGTTTTACTCTGAGAGAGGGAGGGAGCCATTTATTCCCCCATGCAGTTATGAGCTCAGGGCTTCTCTTAAAAACTCCAGTCCCTCCCAGCAATTTGTTCAGTACGCGGGTGGTGCCAGTCACTCACTGTGTTGTCTGCTGGGAATACGGAGTTGACACTGGCGTGGGCAGCCCAGGCCTTCAGGACACATGGGGAAAGGTCAGCGCTTCCTGCCTGGGGGGTTACTAGCAATCTCTCTGACTTTCCCTTGCTGCTCTGTAGAAGTTACCAGACTGGATCTTTGTCATTATACTCACTGGGAGAGTTGTGTCCCCGTTCTTTGTTTGTTTGTTTGTTTGTTTATTTTGGTGTTTTTTGAGACAGAGACTCTCTCTGTCACCCGGGCTGGAGTGCAGTGGCACGATCTTGGCTCACTGCAACCTCTGCCTCCCAGATTCAAGCTATTCTCCTGCCTCAGCCTCCTGAGCAGCTGGGACTACAGGCGCACGCCACCACACCCAGCTAATTTTTTGTACTTTTAGTAGAGATGGGGTTTCACCATGTTAGCCAGGATGGTCTTGATCTTCTGACTTCGTGATCCACCCACCTTGGCCTCCCAAAGTGCTGGGATTATAGGCGTGAGCCACCGCGCCCAGCCTTCGTGTCCATGTTTTGAAGGAAGAGATGACAGTTAGCAGATAGAAGTAGGGGAGTAGGGAAGTATGGGGGTTAAGGGCAGGGACTCCCAGCCATGTAAGATTTTGAAACAATTCCGCACCCCTTCCAGGTCATCGAACCCAAGGACATCCATGCCAAGTGCGGACTGGCCTTTCTCCACACCACGCACTGCCTGGCCAGCGGGGAGGTGATGATCAGCTCCCTGGGAGACACCAAGGGCGATGGCAAAGGTACCTGCCAGCACTGTGTGCTCATGAAAACTTCCGCAGCTGTGAAATGTGGGAAGCATTTTTCTGTGGGAGGAGCAGATCCCAAGCGAAGGGAGGGAAGGAATGACTTCCCAAGGAGAACCAGGGAGCTGGGTCCCAGCCAGTATTTTAAATGGTAGCAAGTAACTTCAGTTTTGAATATTTCTATTAGGATGAGCCTTTACTGATGAATTCAGTTCAAAGTTATAGTCAAAACAGGCCGGGCGTGGTGCCTTATGCCTATAATCCCAGCACTTTAAGAGGCCAAGGCCTGCGGGTGGCTTGAGGTCAGGAGTTCCAAACCAGCCTGGCCAACGTGGTAAAACCCCATTGCTGTGCTGTCTGCTGATAAAACAGGGTTGGTACTGGCAACTCTGCAGTAAAAATACACAAATTAGCCAGGTGTGGTGGTGCTGGCCTGCAACGCCAGCTTCTCAAGAGACTGAGGTGGGAGGATCACCTGAGCCCACGGAGGTGGAGGCTGCAGTGAGCTGTGATTGACCCACAGCACTTCAGCTTGGGCGACAGAGTGAGACCCTGTCTCAAAAAACTGTAGTGAGCAGAATGGAGCTTACACTCTGGGAGGAACCCACTCCAAAAGTGGGAGGCTGGACGAGAGAAATACTAAGTGCCGAGTCCTAGAAGATCTTGTGGGAGAAAGATTTCCACTGTGGTCTGTGAGAGGGATGAGGCTGACAGGAGACAGAGGCACTAGAGCAGAGCCCTCCCTGCCACCTGGCCACCTCTGGGTGGAACCCTTTGGATGCCTGAACTTTTTATTGATTGATTGATTGATTGATTTTTTGAGATGGAGTCTCGCTTTTATTACCCAGGCTGGAGTGCAGTGGCATGATCTCAGCTCACTGCAACCTCCACCTCCCGGGTACAAGTGATTCTCCTGCCTCAGCCTCCCAAGTAGCAGGGATTATAGGTGTGTGCCACCACACCTGGCTAATTTTTTGTATTTTTAGTAAAGACAGAGTTTCACCAGGTTGGCCAGGCTGGTCTTAAACTCCTGACCTCAAGTAATCCACCTCAAGGCCTCCCAAAGTGCTGGGATTACAGGCATGAGTCACTGCCCCCCCGCCCCCAGCCCTGGATGCCTGAATTTAAGGAGCTGGCAAATCCAACAGTGGGGAGGAAGGCAGTGGGTGTAAAGCCTCTTGGACATGCCTGGGGGTGACGGCTGGAGGGCGGGGTTAGTGTCTCTACTGCTACTCTACTCTCTTCCCTGTTCAGGGGGTTTTGTGCTGCTGGATGGGGAGACGTTCGAGGTGAAGGGGACATGGGAGCGACCTGGGGGTGCTGCGCCATTGGGCTATGACTTCTGGTACCAGCCTCGACACAACGTCATGATCAGCACGGAGTGGGCAGCTCCCAATGTCTTACGAGATGGCTTCAACCCCGCCGATGTGGAGGCTGGTGAGAATCCGCCCATGGCCCAGCAGGAGCCTTGGGCCCACATCCCCTTGCTTTCCACTCCAAATCCCCTACCCTTGCACTTCCCTCCTGTGGCCCCAGAATCTTATGAGGATGGCATGGGATGTACTGCATGCTCAGATTGCCCAAGCGTCCTCCTGATCCCTCCAATCCATTTCCTAACCTTCCGCCCTGATTGATGGCCCAGCCTTTGCCCATGCCTTCCAACCCTTGATGCTGAGCCTACCCTCCGGCCCCACTCCTACCCCAGGGCTGTATGGGAGCCATTTATATGTGTGGGACTGGCAGCGCCATGAGATCGTGCAGACCCTGTCTATGAAAGATGGGCTCATTCCCTTGGAGATCCGCTTCCTGCACAACCCAGACGCTGCCCAAGGCTTTGTGGGCTGTGCTCTCAGCGCCACCATCCAGCGCTTCTTCAAGAACAAGGTGACATATGCCCTCTGGCCCTCCCCTCCCGGTAGTCTTGTCAGCCGCTCTACCTAAGCAGGCTTCTGTAATGGTGCTCCCAGGCTTCACCAGCCCAGGCATCTCCAGGAAGGAAAAAAACGAGGCTGGGCCGGGTGCGGTGGCTCACGCCTGTAATCCCAGCACTCTGGGAGGCCGAGGCGGGCAGATCACGAGGTCAAGAGATCGAGACCATCCTGATCAACATGGTGAAACCCCGTCTCTACTAAAATACAAAAATTAGCTGGGTGTGGTGGCACGTGCCTGTAGTCCCAGCTACTTGGGAGACTGAGGCAGGAGAATTGCTTGAACCCGGAAGGCAGAGGTTGCAGTGAGCCAAGATTACACCGCTGCACTCCAGCCTGGTGCCTGGCAACAGAGCAAGACTCTGTCTCAAAAAAAAAAAAAGAAAAAGAAAAAAACGAGACTGCATGCCCTGTCTCTCTTCTTTCAGGGCTAAGCCAACTTCTGCCTGAACCCTAACTGGCCATATTTATTCATTCATTCAAAAACTATTCAGTGAATTTCTGTGCTGGGCACTGTGCTTTGTTCTGGGAATGCGGTGGTGAAAACGACACAACTCCTGCCTCAAGTGGCTTGCATGGAGTTAGAGCCTAGTGGCAGGAAGCCCGGGCATCTAACCTCTCCCTCCCAGGTCTGGGCGACCCAGATCTAAACCCCAGTCCCCAATTCTGATAGGCTCACCTCTCTGCCAGCTAACCTCCCCCTCCACCCCTCAATGTAGGGCAGTACTTGGTCAGTGGAGAAGGTTATCCAGGTGCCCCCCAAGAAGGTGAAGGGCTGGCTGCTGCCTGAAATGCCAGGTGAGTGCCTAGGGCATGGGAAAGCTGACTCTTGGCGTGGGAAGCAAGAGTCCTTAACGGCTCTGCTCGCCCCTGCCCCCAGGCCTGATCACCGACATCCTGCTGTCCCTGGATGACCGCTTCCTCTACTTCAGCAACTGGCTGCACGGGGACCTGAGGCAGTATGACATCTCTGACCCGCAGAGGCCGCGCCTCACAGGACAGGTGGGGATGCTGGCAGGAGAAGCAGAAGGGGAGGAAGGAAGGAGAAGAGAATCTGGGGATGGAGTGGATGGTCCAAAGCAGCTAGAGGATGGCGAGGGAGGGGCAGGAAAAGCAGACACGTGGGCTGCGGGACATTATCTTGGCTCGCTGCAACCTCCGCCTCCCCGGATCAAGCAATTCTCTTGCCTCAGCTTCCTGAGTACCTGGGACTACAGGTGCACACCGCCACGCCAGGCTAATTCTTTTTATATTTTTTAAGTAGAGACGGAGTTTCATCACGTTGCCAGGTTAGTTGCGAGCTCCTGAGCTCAGGCAATCCGCCCGCCTGCCCGCCTCCACCTCCCAGAGTGCTGGGATTACAGGGGTAGGCCCAGGACTGTCCAGGCCAGGGAGGGGCATGTAGAGCATGTCTGAAGGAGAGAGGGACCCCAGCCAGGCAAGCTACTCTTCGGCAATGTCTGACCTCCCACTGTGGTCCTCATCCTCCGCACCTCCCCATCCAGCTCTTCCTCGGGGGCAGCATTGTTAAGGGAGGCCCTGTGCAAGTGCTGGAGGACCAGGAACTAAAGTCTCAGCCAGAGCCCCTGGTGGTCAAGGTAAGGGCCTCTCCCCCTACTTGCCAGACGCATGCTTGAGGAGTATGAGGGGGAGCAGCTCCTGGGCATACTCTTGGGGCTGGGGTGGTGCCTGCGATCTGTGTGTTACCCAGGCTCTGACCTCAGGTTTTCCCAAGGGAAAACGGGTGTCTGGAGGCCCTCAGATGATCCAGCTCAGCCTGGATGGGAAGCGCCTCTACGTCACCACATCGCTGTACAGTGCCTGGGACAAGCAGTTTTACCCTGATCTCATCAGGTGAGAAGCAGACGCGTGGGCTCACCTCCCCAGCCCTCCTCTTCCAGAGGAGTCATTTGGCTTTCTAAAGACCCCTCAGGCCGGGTGCGGTGGCTCAAGCCTGTAATCCCAGCACTTTGGGAGGCCGAGGCGGGTGGATCACGAGGTCAAGAGATCGAGACCATCCTGGTCAACATGGTGAA